TGAGGCCAGCAACCCAGGCACCTCATTCCTAAAGTCATCTTTTCTCTCAACACCATCACTTTGGGCTGTTGTGTTATATTCTTTCTTGTATGTATCAAAACTCATACTGCACAATGAGTTCTGGGTTGCAAAAGAGGAATTATTTTATTTTTTAAAAAATATTTTATTATTTTTATGTGTACAAGTGTATTGTCTGCATGTATGTGAGTGCACCCATGTCGTGCAATGCCATGGAGGTCAAAAGAGGGCTTCAGATTCCCCTGGATGGTGGGTGCTGGGAATCGAACCCGCGTCTTCTGCAAGAGCAGTCAGTGCTCTTAACTGCTGAGCCATCTCTCCAGCCCTGAGGATTTATTTTTTTATCTGTCTTTCATGCCTCTGTCCACCAGTTGAACACACATACAAAGTGCTTACTAAAGAAGAATTTTTAAAAGCTAATAACTTAACCCCATTAATCTAAAGACTTTACTAAAACTGGAGCTCAAGAGTACAAGAGGAAAACAAGGTCTTTCTGATTTGAAAGCTCTCAACAGACTAAATGCTAAATTCAATGAATTAGAGATCTCAGGTACCAAGAGAACCAAAATAAGAAATTTGTTGCTATCAAATAAATCATTATCAGATTTTTTTTTTTTTTTTTTAAAGACAGGGTCTCCCTGTAGCCCCATCTGTCGTGGAACTCAATCTGTAGACCTGGCTGGCCTTGAACTCACAGAGATCCGCCTGCCTCTGCCTTCCAAGTGCTGGGATTAAAGGCATGCGCCGCCATGCACACATACTATGGGGAAGATACAAATATGAGCTCCCTGAGTAAGTAGATAGTGTCACAGTGACAGACAACCCCAGGTTAAATATAATGGGATGGGTGTGGTGGTACACACCTTCCAGCAGCACTCAGGAGGCAGAGGCAGGCAACTTCTGTGAGATTTGAGGCTATCCTGGTCTACAAAGAGAGTTCCAGGCCAGCTGAGGCTACAGGGAGACCCTATCTCAAAACACAAAACCATGCATACACATACATACAATCTCAAAACACAAAACCATACATATACACACACATACACACACACACACACAATCTCAAAACACAAAACCATACATACACATACACACACACACAATCTCAAAACACAAAACCATACACACACACACACACACACACTATCTCAAAACACGAAACCATGCATACACATACACACACATGTGTATTATGGTAACCGAAATGCATTGCAATTGTTTCAAGATATTCCAACCTACCACTTTGTACTGTTAATACAGATTAAAAATACTGTGCTCCACAGAAGCTGGGACAGAGGGGGGGTCTGGGGGTGGGGAAGAGATAGAGAAAGAGAGAAGCAAATATGGCAAATCATGAACTTCTATGTATCAAAATGCTCATGAGGGATTAGAGAGATGGCACCGCAGTTAAGAGCACTGGGTGCTCTTGCAGAGGACCCAGGTTAGATTCCCAGCACCTACATGGTGGCTAACAATCATTCCTAACTCCAGTCCAGGGATCTGACACCCTCTTCTGATCTCCTCAGGCACTGTGTGGCACAGGTGCATTTACATACATGCAGGTAATACACTCATACACATAGAATAAAAATATTTTTTTAAATATTCATAAAAAGTAGGAAGATTATTTAAAGTTTTGAATGTTTTTTCTTTCACTAAATGCATTTCTGAGCTTCTGATATATTAATGAAAATACACATCACTATACATGGAGCTATTTTTAAAAAACAGCTTTTGAGACAGGCATGGTGGCACATGCGTTTAATCCCAGCATTAGGGTGGCAAAGGCAGGTGGATCCTGGTGAGATTGAGGCCAGCCTGGTCTCCATAGCTAGTTCCAGGCCAGCCGGGGTTACAAGGAGCTCCTGTCTCAGGAAAAAGAAAAAAAAAAAAAATGTTGGACTAATTTACTATTAAACAGAAATACTTGGAGTGAGTTCAAAGATCAGTCTAAGTTGTGAGAGTTGGCTCAGTGACCAAAAAAAAGTACTTGAGGTACTATTCTGTGTGGGCAAGGGAAAGCTCAAACTTCAAGGACAAAATCTGGCCCAGAAAGTGACATCATGTTACTACTTGTTAACAGAAGTTTAAAAAGCACAAAGAATAACACATAACTGTCCCCAAAATACAGCTAATTTAAGCTATCATTTAGTAGTATTGTTGGGGTGTGTAAATGTGTAGCATTCAAGTAGAAACTCAAGTAAATTAAAAAGTCATAACTGACTGCTTCCCTTTCATTAAGTTATTGCATAAAGGCATAAAAAAATTAGTGATAAAAAAAGATGAAGCAAGACTGCTCTTACTAACTTGTCAATTATAAGTGTATGATGGCCAAAGCATGTGTTAAATTAAGACTGAAAAGACTTTGCAAATGAGGAAAGTAAACTATAGAAAGGTCACTTATCAGTCAGTCCTGGTAGGGGACAGGTGGTATGGTGGTTTGAATGAAAATGTCCCCCATAGGCTCCAAGTATTTGGACACTTTGTCCTCAGTTGGTGGCACTGTTTTAGGAGGTTTTAGGAGTGTGGCTTTGCTGGAGGAAGTGTATCACTGGGGATGGGCTTAGAGAGTTCTTAAGCCTTGCCTGATTTCCAGTGGCTCTCTGCTTCCTGTGCCTGCTTTAAGATGTGAGTACTTCACTTTCTGCTCCTGCCCTGGCTACCACATCATACCTCCCTGCCATGATGGAATCTATTCCCTCTGGAACTTGGAAACATAAGCTCAAATAAACTCTTCTTTCTGTAAGTTCCCTGGTCACGGTGTTTTATCACAGCAATAGAAAAGCAACTAAGACAGATGGTATATTCTAACAAGTAAATTTCAACAATTTAATAAAGGAACTATGCAATAAGGTATGGGTGTACTTTAAGAAAACCAACAAAACATTGGAGAAGTTGACTCAAGGGTTAAGAGCACTTGCTCTTCTTCCAAAGAACCTAGGTTCAATTCCCAACACCCACAGGGTGGCTCAGTTCCCCTCCTCCAGCTTTCACAGGTATTACACACATACCAGTATACATACAAGCAATCCAAACACTTGTACATATATAAATAAATCTTAAAAAAAAAAAGGGGGGGCCAGGCATGGTGGTGCATGCCCTTAATCCCAACACTTGGGAGGGAGAGGCAGGTGGATTTTTGTGAATTCAAGGCCAGTCTGGTCTACATAGTGAGTTCTACACCAGTTGGAGCTACAGGGAGACCCTGTCTGTATGAATAGGGACAACTGATAGGTATGATCTCTAAAGGTGCAGCCAGATCACAGCCATAGGAAGGGAACCTCACACCACCTTCCCATCTGCTGCTGATACTACTGATCACGCCCCATCAGAAAAGGCAAGGGAACCATTGATACAGTTCATATAGGTTGGTCTCCCAGAACACAGGGCAAAGGTAGAGAACAGACCTAGAATGGAAAAGAGAAGATAGTAAGCAGTTACTAAAGTCAATGACGACAGTCAGGATCAGAAATTCGGTTCTGATTCTGAATTCAGTGCTCTTTTCCTACTAGACAAAATAATTGATAACGTGAGTATACAATTTGGTAGATGTGATGGGAGATGTGAAACTAACAAGAGCTGGTTCCCTAATCCTCAAAACACTAATAATATTGTGAAAAGAAACTTACAGAATTATAGGAAAAATATTTTAAAATAAGACTAAAACAAAGAAAAATCACTGTAAAGATTATCTTATGCCTTAAAAAAATATTCATATAGTGGAGGGCACAAAGTAAATTCTGACTTCAACACTCTGCTTGGCTTCCAGGCAAGAATTTTTAAACTATCAAAGACTGATATTAGAAAGCTAACATGAGAGAAAAGAGTAGCAGTTAATGATTACTTCTTATGTATCCAGTGCTTTATCTTTTAGCTAGGAATTATAGTTATTATTACTGATTTAGGAATGACATTAGGGGTTCAAGAAGTTAACCTCCTGGTTAAACTATGCAGTAAGGTCTGATTTGCCCAGAAGTATTGTTCTTTGTACAACATCCACATACCAAAAGCACCTTAAGGATGACGACTTGGAACCTACTGTGCAAGTCTAGTAAACAATCTGAATTTGTTATTGAACCTCAAGTAATTCATATCATCTCTCAAATTCCTTGTTTCAAAGAGATGACAGGGCATGCTCTTGTCTCCAGAGGATTGTACAAGCATAGATCAGACCAAAATACTAAATTGGTTTTTTTTGGTCTTTTTGAGACAGGGTCTCCGTTTAGTCCCAGCTGACCTGGAACTCACTATGTAGATCAGGCTGGCCTTGAACTCACAAGAGATCCACCTGCTTCTGAGTGCTAGGAGTGCTGCGATTAAAGGCGTGCACCACCATGCCTGGCCCCAGATGACTTTCATTGTCAAATTACCACTGCTAGATGTACCTTCTTTCTGAGCTGTGATATGCCTATTTTTTTTCCTTCTTTCCTTCCCTCCCTCCCTCCCTTCCTTTTTTTTTTTTTTTTCCCAAGACAGGGTCTCCTTTTGTAGCTCCAGCTGGCCTGGACCAGACTGACCTCAGTCTCACAGAGAACCACCTACCTCTGCCTCCTGAGTGCTGGGATTAAAGGCATGTGCCACCATGTCCAGCTTAGCTGTGGCCATCACTACGTCACCCAGCACCCAGAAGCCTGTTCAGCCGTCCTTTGATACCCTTCACAGGGATGATATACAGATTTTTGGCTATTATGTTGTCAACACCACTTTTCATGGCTGCTTCTAAAGACCCACAGAAATCTAGAATTTCACATTGGAGGACACACCACGTGTTCACTTCAACATCTTGGATGTCAGAATGCAAGAGAAAGAAAAAGGGCCCAAAGAGTCTGGGAAAGCTTATGCTATACCAATTCACTATAACCTCTGCATCCTGCCCAAAGCAACATATTCAGTGAGTACATAAGAGACTAAAAGAAGAACAAAAAACAATCTCTTTCAAGGTGGGCTACAGACTATATTCAGTAAAAGGACAAGACACTTAACACAATAGAATAAGAATTTTTATTTTACAAATGAAAAGGCAAAAAACCTGGTACTGAATCTAACCTGAAGTCATACTCTGATTTCATACCTTGCAGTTGAACTTTCCCAGTTCATCAGTTAGTTCCACTGAAAACTGACTAAGCCTTTCTCTGTGGAGGAAGCACAGACCAAATTTAACCATGATGACAGCAATGACTACTAAAGGAAGTGACTGCATTGCTGTTTCAATTTCTTTTTCTTCTTAGAAACACACTCCATGGCCATGTAGAACTTAGAGACTGACTGTCCTGGCCAGAGAAGGTTAAGGCTGTGTTGCAGAGAAATGTAGGTTCTACTTCTACCTTCATACTGTGAAATCCAAGTCTCTGAGAGGTTTAACTAAACCAGGACATCCTTTGCAATAGCATTCAAAGTCCTTACTTTTGTCACATCTGTTACCTTTATAGAGTATTCTGAATGAGCAAGTGAGGCTCCCATTGCAACAGAGGAATTTCTGCAATAGAAATAATAAACAGATAATCACACCAGTTGTTAAATGAGCACTGGTCCTTCACTTTATAGACTAGTTAATGATGGTTCAGGAATAAGGTCAAGGATCCTGGACTACCATATTCCACAATTTCATTAATTTAAATACTTGAAACATCTAGTAACTTAATCTGTCAGATAGAAAATTTGACTTTTTAATCTGGAAAAACAAAGTTTAAGGTTCTTCTGTTTTTTTACAATGCATTTTTTTCCCAACTAGTAAATGGAAAGATTCAACTATTAAATTACAGGAATCCTCTCGAATACTGAAAAAAACTCTACACACATAATAGTTGAAATTTCTTAATGGTGATAGAATTTCAAAATCGCTGGAAGTAGAGAGCAAAGGTGAAGGAAGACTATTCACAGCAGACAAGACAAAAATGGCTATGAGTCTTCCTTATACCAATTATTAACTTTGTAAAAGGAAGGCACAGCAGAATGGGCACATGAGTATCCGACTCATTTGATGTTTTACTGATGAATTCGTTTATTATTAACTGCTTAGTTCAGTAATCCTTAGTTAAGCAATCATTCCCTCTGAATTAACAATCTCTCTCTCTCTCTCTCTCTCTCTCTCTCTCTCTCTCTCTCTCTCTCATTTAGATGTGGAGATTCTGGAACTTCACATAAAATATCCACAAACTAGGTTTAACCATGACAGTCGTGATGGCCTGCAAGACTAAGTAAAGACTATGTAAAGATTCACCTACATTCTGAAGAGCATGCCTATTTAAAGGCAGAACAAGAATCACTTTAGGAATATTTTCCAACAGCAAAGACATTTACCATACTACTAATCACAACATTCCATTATTTAATAATGATATTAACTAAGGTTGTCTTATTTGTACAACAAAAATTAATTTCATCCTTTCTTATATAAGTCAAATAGTGCATTTTTACCGAAACTTCATTCCTGAGTCTCTAGAAGACCGAGCAGAACAGTGGAATTCTGTAGCACCTGAACCCTCAAGGATCCTTTGCAGATTTTTGTCTGTTATACCACCTCCTGTTAAAAAGAAAAAGCAATACATTAAGTGGAACAGAATATTGGATAAAGTTCAAATAAGGATAACTCCTTATTTTACTTGAAATCTATCATTCCACACTCCCTCACTGCTTTCCCCTCAATTTAAGCAAAATCAAATTAGAATGAAAGATAAAGATAGGTTTGAGGAAAAAGCTACAGAAGCACTCCAGAAATTTACCTGAAAGAGAAAGCCTATAATGTTTTTCTGTGTCCCAGAATTTTCAGAACATACAGACTTTACTGGAAATGAAACTAAGCAAACTACTTACAGTTTACTCATCAAAATATTAATTTTTGTTTCACTTCACAGAAGAATCTAATTTTATTTCATTAAAGCAACACAACCAAGCTAGGCGTGGCTGTGTTCGCCTTTAGTCCCTGCAGAGGCAGGCAGATCTCCGTGAGTTCAAGGCCAGCCTGGTCTACACAGTGATTTCCAGGACAGCTGGGGCTACAGGGAAACGCTGTCTCAAAAAGACAAAAGAAAATAAAAAATCAACACAACCAAGTACTATATGATGACATTCATTTGAACAATTTTTTGTTGTTGTTGCTGAACAATTTTTAACATATTTATGTCATATTTTAAACTGATACCAGTAATTATAAATATGAAATTCTTCATCTTCATGTTCTTAACTCCTGATATAGAAGACATATTCAATAAACATTTTAAGATGGTATTAGTTATACACTTTGTACTTCAAAACAGGTTTTTAATAAACTCAGACTCATTAGTTGTTTTTAGCTGAACCCTTAAAAAGTGGAAAGAACAAGTTAGGTGTGGTGATGTATTCCTATATTTCCGCACTTGAGGCTAAGGTGAGATGATCTCAAGTTTGACCTCTATATAACAAGACTGTCTTACACACACACACACACACACACACACAAATTGAAAAACATGGGCTGAAAAATCAGATTTAGATTAGAATTCTGGGTTTCAGTACTGTAACTCTAAACAGCAGTATGATCTTACAGAATTTTAAAAATTTCTATTGATTCTTTTGAAAATTTCATATACTGTATTTTGATCATATTCAGACCCATCTCACCTCCTTACTATGCCCACCCCTGACTTCATGTCCTCTATTATTATTTTTTCTTTTTTTAAAGGCCGATTGAGTCTAATTCGTGTTCTCCAAATGTTCTTGGGTATGGGTCCATTCATTGAAGCCTGGTCAACCTATATCACACCCTTAAAGAAAACTGACTTTCCCTCTCCCAACAGCTGTCAGCTAGAGCTGGGGCCTCTTGCCTACCTCACCCATTCATGCTGAGTTTTTTGTTTGTTTTTTGTTTTTGACTTGGGCTTGTGCACGGTGTCATAAGCACTGTGGGTTCATATGTGCAATTGCCCTGCTATGTTCAGACAATACAGTTTCCTTGTATTCATCTACTACCTCTAGTTCTTTCAATCTTTCCAACCCTTCTTCCACAATGATCCCTGAGCCTTGGCAGGAGAGGATTACAGAAATTATTTAAATCTGATTTTACTGGAAATATTTTGAGCTTTCTCCATTTAGTGTAATACTGACTTCAAGTTTGTCTTATATAGCCTTTATTATGTTGAAATATGTTCATGCTAACCCCAATTTCTTCAGAACTTTTACCATGTAGGAATGGATTTTGTCAAGTCTTTTTTTGCAAGTGTTGAGTCTGATTATATGATGCATTACATTTATTGATTTGCATATATTAAAAGCATCTTGGCACCTCTGGTGATGGTAAATGATCTTTCTGATGTGTTCCTGCATTTGGTTTACGAGTATTTTGTTGAAAATTTTTGCACATATGTTCATCAGAGAGATTGGTCTACAGTTTTCTTTTAGTGTTGTGTCTTGCATGCTTAAGTTGGAGTGAATGTCTACAGAGGTGAGAAACCAAGAAAGGAGCTGTGGTGTTGGGGAATTAAGGAGAGGGGGAGAGAAGAACACATATGATATGAAAGTAGAAGGAAGAAATCCTGGGGGTGAAAAAGGATGGGGGGCAAGGAAGGTAGTAAGAGAGTTAGCCAAAACTATAGATGTATGAAAAAGTTGTATGGAAACCTGCTACTTTGTTAGCTAATAATAATAATTTTTTTTAAAAGGAAGAATTTTAATGAAAGTGCCTTGTATGGGTAATTTCTGCTCTCAGAACCCATAAGTTATTAAATGAAAATCCCAGCACCAGCAGTGGAATAGCTCCCTATGAGCCCTAGAAGCACCCCAAACCACAGGCTATCATCACAGCTCTTGGTACCCACCAGAACTAAATGGCAAGCTCCTATTTCTGAAGACACTAAACACTTTGGCTGCTGGACATAGAGAAATTAAGCTGAATTTGAGATGGAAGCTTCCTCCCATGCTGGCTAGCTTTCATAGTGCCAGGAGATACTAGGTGAACTACTGTAAGAAAAAAGCCATCAATGGTCTTAGCCTTCCAGGCAAGATGTGCTTACGGGTTCAACAGTGTCATGACTATTATGGAGGTAACCTACTCTTTCTGATTGGATTTGAGACCTGCCCCACTGGAGGGAAATTATGACTAGCACTGTAAACCTGGGGGATGGAGAGATGCCTCAGGGGTTAAGAACACTGACTGTTCTTGCAGAAAACCCGGGTTCGAATCCCAGCACCCACATGGCAGCTAACAACTGTCCGTAACTCCAGTTCCAGGGGATCCAACAGCCTCTTCTGTCCTCCGTGGGCACTGCACAACATGCGTGCACTTACATACCTACAGGCAATACACACATACACATAAAATAAAAATAAATAAATAAATAAAAATTTTAAAAGCCTGTGCTATAGACGTCACACACACAAGGGGGGAAATCTATCAGTGATGGTTTGCTAAATGGACATGTTATCAAACTGTCTTCTAAACACTTCTACCCATAGATTAGTGATGCTTTTAGCTTTGGTCAGAGGCACTTCTTTTTGTAGTGGGTTAGCAGTAAATGCAGACTCAAAACAGGTCAAAGTGATAATAATAAGTAAGCTAGATGCTCAGTCCTAAATGGGACATTTATATCACCCCCTCCACAGCTCAGGGAACACTGCAGAAAAGGGAACAGAAAGAAAGAACCAGAGGAAGAGGAAGAGTGCAGTGAAACACTGTCTTCTAAATAGAATATGGCTGTTGGACTCATGAATTCACAGCAGCTGTGGTTACCTGCACAAAACCAGCATGAGACTTGGTCTGTTAACAATCACTTATAGATGGGGGAGTGATTTATGAGGCTCCATACCTCCCTGAGGAGCTATAGGCAATTAATAGTCACTGGGGGGGAGGGAGAGTCATTCCTCAGTGACATAGCACTGATGAGTTGCTCTTGTTCAAGTAAATAACCTTTTACCCTTGCATATGCAAGCAACCCTAATTAAATGCAGTAAGTTAAAAAAATAAAGACATGAAAGTAGAGGAACTTCTTGGGAAGAAGAGGGGAATAAAAGAGGAATAAGAGGGAGAAATGGGGGTTGAATATGATCAAAGAACTTTATGTTTTTTAATATTTTTATCTATTATTTTTTATTTTATGTGTATGTGTGTATTGCCTGCATGTAAGTACATCCATGTTGTACAATGCCCATGGAGGACAGAAGAGGGCATCAGATCCTCTGGAATTGGAGTTATGGACAGTTAGCTGCCATGTGGGTATTAGAATTCAAACCTGGGTCTTCTCTAAGAGCAGCCAGTGTTCTTAACTGTTGAGCCATCTCTCCCATGCAGAAAAAAACTTTTTTAATGTTAGCAAGCAGTAGAAATAGCATCTCTGTTTGGTTCCTAATTTTCATAAGAATGTCTCTGGTTTTATTTCCATTAAGGAAGATAATAATTTTATAGTCACAAAACTGTACTTATATTACATTAAAGCATATTGGTTTTTTTAAGAAAGATATTAAGATAACAACCAAATGCAACATTTACTCCTTGATTGAATCCTAGTATTTACTATCAACTATGAAAAGTATTTTGGGGACAAGTAGAGAAATTAAATAGGTATTAAATTAAATTTTGTACAACAAAAATTAATTTCATCCTTTCTTATATAAGTCAAATAGTGCATTTTTACCGAAACTGGTAAATAGTGCATTTTTACCGAAACTGGTGTTTACTTTGATAGACACGCTAATTGTATAGTGGTTATAGTAAAAAACTTATTCTTTTAGAAATACAAAAAGACAAAATGTAAGGTACTTATAGCTTAACTTTAAAATATCTTTGAATTTTTTAAAAAGATGAGACAAATGTGTCAAAATATGAGCTCCTGACTACTCATTATGCTATTTTGTAATATTTCATGTTTGAGAATATAATAGAAAAATTCCAATTGCTTTTACATTTGTCTCACTCTGATTCTAGGCTGCTTCATCCAATTTAAAAACTACCTTAACTGTTAATTTCTTCTTTAAAAAAATATTTTATTATTTTTATATTATGTGTATGAGTGTATTGCCTGCATGTGTATACGTACACTCATATCGTGAAATGCCTGAGGAAGTTAGAAGAGGGTGTCTGATCCCCTGCAACTGGCGTTATGGACAGTTGTTAGCTGCCATGTGGGTGCTAGGAATCAAACCCAGGTCCTCAGCAAAAGTAGCCAGTGCTCTTAACTGTTGAGCCATCTCTCCAGCCCCTTATCTATTCATTTCTAATGAACTACTGTGTACTTAATTGCTCACATGTATATCACCAGGAGCAAATACTGAAATTATTCTGGTTTCAACAAATAATATAGTGATCAGAGATTTTCATGAGTTGACAGACTATTACACTTATTCGTGGATGTTGCCTAAACATTTGGCTTTAACACAGTACAGCAGCGTTGAACTTGCTGTGCCTCACCAGAGATGAACATCCAAATTCATAATATTCTACACATTGGGAAAGCAAACATGGAGAAACTCTTCTTTATTTGGTCTTCTCTGAGCTAACTTCTGCTAGAATGCTCTCCTTTTAAATTCCAGCACAGATCTCCTGGTCTTAAATATTTAACTCAAACTATATATTCTTGTCTTTGAGTACCATGTTCTAACACTTTCTCCTTTGTTTTCTTAATTGCTCTTCCTCCACTATATTTCAGTGTTATGCTTAAAAAGCAGAGAGATAAATACCTGGCATTACCACAATCCTGCCTTTTGCCTGAAAAAAGGAAAAAGAAAAAGTAAATTTTAGTAGCTTTCTTTTAATTGGGATAAGATTATTATATTTTTTAAATTACTGCTAATGTTTAATTTATCAATATCCTCTCCCCCATCTCAGGAAAGGGTTCTGGGCAAGTATGATGTCCAGCCTTGTAATTTTCTATCTAGAAAGATTTTTATTGTATTGTTTTAAAAATGTGTAGTGTTATGAACAGAGGAAACAATATAAATACTTTATAATCACACCACCTTAAGAAAAATTTTAGTGGAAAGTAACACAAATCTACATTTTTGGTATACAGTGGGATGGGTGGAAGCAGTTGAATTTAAGTAAGATTTTAGCAGAAAACATAACAAGGTTGTAAATTACTAAGGTGGAAAATTCACTCAAATCCCCTATCATCAACTAAATTCCGTAGCTTATCATACCAATTAAGCAAAACTTTAAGTTCATTTAACTGGGACTATAGGAATTAATTTAATTTCTGATAATTCTGGAAGAGAAAGATTGAAATTATTATAATTCTTATTAGCATTGTTATGTACATGAGAATGTATACACTCATGTATATAATCTTCTGTCAGTTTATACCCAAGAACTGCACATTAGAGAGAAGAAAAATGTATCCTGTTTGACATGGTGAACAGGAGAAAGCCCCTACTTTCAGAGCTTACACATTTAAGAAGATAGGTAATAGGTATAAAATTTCAGATAGCAGTAGTACAATGAAGAAAATAATAAAGATAATGAAAGAGACTAAAAGAGAAAGGAGGCTATTTCACATAATTTAGTAATTGTTAGAAAAATTAACTGGAACAAAGATGATTCATATTCTCAAATGTGTAAATGCAAAATATAAAACATTTACTATCTATTCTCCTATCATTTTGAGTTTAGAAGTGGGAGGAAATTGCATTTACTTTCATTCAAATTGAAGCTTTCTTTCAATGAAAGCTTTCCAAAACAAAGACAAACAATATTTTAAAGAGATAAATACTATTATACCTCTTGGCCTTCTATAAAAGATTACTTAGGACAGGCATGGTGGCACACACCTTTAAACCCAGCCAGTACTTAGGAGGCAGAGGCAGGTGGATCTCTGTGAGATGGGAGGCCAGCCTGGTCTCCACAGCAAGTTCCAGGCCAGCTGTGGTTACAGGGAGATCCTGTCTTAAAAAAAAAAAAAAACTTAGAATTATATTTCCCTAATATTAACAAAGTGATTTAACAATCTAAAACACTGCCAGTAATTATCTGAAAAAAGAAAACAACCCTGATCTGAATGTGAAATGGCCCCAGAGGCTTGAATGCCAGACAACTGACTTTTGGAAAATGAATGGAGTAATTCACTGATGGATTAAAAATCTGAATGGATTATGAGACTGATATGCTCCCTACTGTGCTAACAAGGTACCTAATCATTAACCCTACCCAGCTGTGAATCCTGTGAACTACAGTAAGAACTGGCCTGGCAAGATACACCCAACAGTGCAATAGTGGCATGAATACTATTGGAAGTAACCAACCACTCTTTAATTGCATTTAAGGTCAGCTACATAGGATGGAGCCCATACCTGACATTGATATCAGGCTTAGGAACTTGAGGCTAGATAGGTCACAAGACATAGGGGAGAACCTAATACTAGTTTTCTACTTATTAGTTATCATATTAAACTAACTTCTAATGACTTATTGGTATACCCACAGATTAATGCATCTCACAGCTCTCACCAGAGAAGTTTCCTTATGCAGCAGATGGTGATTAACATAGAAACCCACAACTGGCCAACATGCAGAGAATAAGAGGCTGCAGACTACTTATCCTTGAATAGGAAGCCTAAATCAAACTTCAGCTTCCCAAGGCTCAAGGATCATTAAAAAAGGGATGGAAAGATGGTAAATGCCAGACAGTAGATGATCACAAGGAAATGGAATTTTGAAGTAAGTTAATCAGTTACTCACATGAACTCACAGCAAGGGTGAAGCATACACAAGTCCCATGCAAGTTCAAACCACACAAAATCCCAGCCCAGACATGAGAAAGTAGATAAGAAACCACAAGCCAGCCTAAGGAAATTGTGGGAACAGACGGCTGCTGAGAGTGCAGAGATAGTCGCTTTCAAGGATGGGACTATTAGTAGATTAACTAGGCTCCAGTGGATAGACCCACACTGAAGGACATTTGAGGACACAAATTATAATGTGTTATAATGTGTATTATAATTATACGTGTATTATAATGTATAAATATATATATATATATAAATATAAAATAGAGTACATTAAATTGGGTAGGGGCAATAAGAAGAGATGGGGATAGGGGAAGGGATCTAAATACCAAATTATATGAAAATCACAAAAATTCAATTAAAAAAATCTGAATAGAACTGTGTGGAAGGTGAGGCCTCGGTGGAAGTAGTTCACTGGTGGTATGTCCTTGGGTGCTACATTTTTCCCTGGACCTTCTTGTTACTGCTTTCTCTGTTTCCTGTCCACCACAAAGTGAGTAGCCTCTGACATATACTCCCACTACCATGATGTTGTCAGACCTAGACTCACAAGCAATAGTCACAGACTATGGACTGAAACTTCAGAAACCAGGAGCCAAAATAAAGAATTCCTCCCTCTAAGTTATCTATATCAGGTATTTTGTCAAAACAATGAAAGTCTGACTAACACACCTTGCAACTATTTTGGGAGGTAGGTCCCATTATAATATCAATTTTGCAGATCAGGAAACTGGGCAGTAAGATGCTTAGGTAATCTGCTCAGGGACACTGTTAATAAGTGGCAAAAGGCCATCAGGATTCTAACCAAAAGTCTATGCTTTAACTAATATAGTATTAGGCAGTTACTCAAGATGTAAAAAGTTAGTATAAGAAAATATGTGGAGCCAGGCGTGGTCACACACGTCTTTAATTGCAGCAGTCTTTAATCCTAGCACTCGGGAGGCAGAGGCAGAGGCAGGAGGTTCTCTGTGAGTTCAAGTCCAGGTTGGTCTACATAGCGAGTTCCAAGACAGCTGGGGCTATAGGGAGACTTTGTCTCAAAAACAAAAAAAACACACACTCCACTCAAATAAAGAAAGAAAATATTTAATCCAACTGTTCTCATCAACTGATGACTAACATAAAAATCACACATACACACATATACAAAGAGAGGGGGGGGAGGAATAGAAATTATCTTATTCTCTACTCCTCGGTAATCTTTTAAAACTGGAAACCTGGATCACCAATTCTTAACATTCCAAACATTTTGAGCTCCCCAGTGAACCAAAGATTAAGTTAGCAAGGGTTTCAAGGTTCTAGATATCATTCTTCTCATTACCTTCAATTTCTATTCATTCTTCAGTATCTTAAATCAAATCATGCTCGTCTTATTTCCAGGTCTTTGCACATACTATTCCTTCTGCAGGAACAATTCCCCCACTTTTTCCACCCCCCGCTTTGACAGAATAACTCCCAAACATCCTCCATCCCTGCAAACCAAATTAATTCTTCTCCATTGTACCCCTATAGCACCTTTAAAAAAAAAATGACTCTACTAAAAAGGGCCTGTTGTGAGACAAATTTTAAGGGCAGTAACTACACACACATTTACATGCACACATTCCTTGGTGACCCTATGGTACAAATACTCTGCACCCAAGATATACTTGATAAATATGTGTAAAATCAATAAATTCCAGAGTAGCAAAGTCACATTAATTTAATTAATTTCATTAAGTGAAATTTCTGAACACTATTTCATAGCTATAGAAAACTGAAAATGATCAAGCTGTCAGTACAAAACTGCTCAATAATACTGTAATAAAATCAGTCATAATAAAAAAAATAACATGTACTAAGACCTACTATATGCTAAGCACGGGCTGAGACCTATATATATCTTATTTCCTTCAATCCTTAGGTAAATCCTATAATGACAGAAATAAATTTATTTCAATTTTACACACAAACAGAGGCTTACAGGTTAGTAATCTACTTAACATTACACAGTCATAAAACAAATGTCAAACCTGAGGCTCAAGCATAGAACTCTCCCATACAAAGTCTGTATTCACTAACTGAGAATGCCACTGGACTGGTCAGAAAAACACAGACATATTTCAATTACAAAGCAATCTCTGGGTCAGCAAGATGGCTCAGTGGGTAAATGCGCTTGCCAATATACCTGACAACCTGAGTGCAACCCCCAACCTACATAGTGAAAGGAGAGATCAAACTCCTACAAATTACCTTCTGACTTACACACAAACACCATGGAGCATGTACAGACATAGATGCACACAAAGTAAACAATTGTCAAAATTTTTTTTAATTTATTTCCTTCTATATTTGCAGATGGGAAAAAATGAAAAAGAATGTAAGTTTTGGAATGTACTTTCAGATGACAACTATAAATTTTACATGGGATCCCTTGAATATATATTAGCTGACAGTGAAAAGATGTGCTTTAAAACTAGTCAATACTGATGATGGCAGAGAAAAGGTAAAATTTGCCTATAATAAAATTTGTCTCTAATTTGCTCTGAATAGCCTTGGATATTTACAACACATGAAAGAAATAAAAATTTTATAAACACATCACTGACTCTTTTTTTATATAGAATAAATCACAAAGTCAGTAGAGCTTTATAAACTTGCTGAATAACAGAATGTCAGGAGTAACCACAACTATCTTAAGAAGTAAAGAAAAAATATGCTTGTACCTCATCTACAAGTTGCTTTATTAGAGGCAGACCTTCTAGCGCTGAACTGTCACATCCACTGGTCAAAACTCGTTCAAATCCCAATGTTAAGAGGGCTTCCAGAGCAGCCATTGGATCATGAACCATATCAAAGGCTGAAAAAAATGAAACTGATTTGAACTTTGGAGATATTCTCTGATGCAATGTTTCCCAAAATATAGTATATATATAATGGTATGCTAGACTTATACCGGCTTATAAGAATCTATTATGGAATATTCATAATTTTGTAAATCAGATTGGCATCATAAAGTTAGTCAAGGTAGAACATTTAAACCACAGAAATCAGAAAATGCTACAAATCAGGTTTCTTTTTTCTAAGAACCAGAGTTTGCTAGCACAGCAGTCTGCATACCACTGGTAGTATACATGATCACTTTATTAGCACACATTTCAAAAGGTGCATTTACTTAGATACAGATAAGAAGTGGCAGGTTTCAGGGCTAGAGAGATGGCTCAGCGGTAAAGAGCACTGACTGCTCTTGCAAAGTACCAAGGTTCAATTCCCAGCATCCATATGGTGGTTAACAACCATCCAAAACTCCAGTTCCAGGGGCTCTGACGCCCCCTTCTGACTTCCATGGGCATTGCATGATGTGGGTGCACTTACCTACAAGCAGGCAATACACTCATACACATAAAATAAATAAAAGTGTTTTTAAAAAAGAAGTGACAGGTTTAAAATTTTCAGTAATGATAAAAGTTTCTATTTAAGAATAGATTTTGTTTAAAGAAAATTACTAATTCTGGGTGTGGTGGCACATGCCTGTAGTCCCAGCACTCTGGAAGCAGAGGCAGGCAGATCTCTGTGAGTTCAAGGCTAGCCTGGTCTACATAGTGAGTTCCTGGTTAGCTGAGGCTACAGAAAAACCCTGTTTCAAAAAGGCCAAGAAAAGAAAATTACTACTTGTACAAGTAGCATTTAGATATGATAATGCTATAAACTTGAGGGGTAAATGACCACATTTGGAAAACTGCTCTTAGACAAACTATACTATATAAAATGAAGTCTTCTACTCACCTGTCCTAAGAGAAGCCTTGCTTCACGTTTTCATTTATTGACTAATAGCTGGTACTAAACCATTAACCTGACATATCAAGACTCATAGTGTAAGGATGGTTGTTTGAGACAGGTCTTACAATGTAGTCCTGGGTAGCCTGGAACTCACAGAGATCTGCTGGCCTCTGCCTCCTAAGTCCTGGAATTAAAGGCTTGCGCCACCACATCCAGGGAGTATGGTTGTTTTCCATAGACTACATACGTTTTCAAATCCATCCTATTAAGATTCATACTCTTTCTCAAATCAGGCACAAGGCACAGGCTTATAATCCTAGCACTCAGGAGGATGAGGCAAGAGGATTCCAAGTTCAGGTGAGGGAAGGAAATGCGGAATGAAAGGAGAGAAGTGGAGGGGAAAGAGGTCTAGGAACCTCAAAAGAGGGACAAAAGTGAGGGACGTGGCATAGGAACCTCAAAACAGAAAAACACTTCTGCTTCAGTTCTCAGCACCATTACATGATACAGGAGTTCTGATTTATGGTGGATTAGGTGTAGGGGTCCTCAGGGACAGAAAGAAAAGAAGTTTTTTCTACCCTTTAATGTATACAGGCAGCTAAATGTACTACAGAGGATTTCCCTTTTTTGTTGGCAGCATTTTCTCAACAGTGATTTAACTAACTTATTAAATTAACAAGTGGAAAAATGTGGAACCCAGAACATTGTAAAATGTCTATAAATTTCGAAAATATTTTTGTTAGACTTACTGCAGAAAAAGAATAGAAATTTGAAGTCATTTTTTAGTTTAAGAACTAAAACATATTCTATGTGACTAGTTTATTCTTTAAAATTATTTAACATGACAGGGCTGAAGGGATGACTCAGCAGTTGAGAGCACTGACTGCTCTTGAAGAGGACTAGACTTCAATTCCCAGCACCCACATGGTGGCTAACAACCATTCATTAACTCCAGTTCCAGGGGAATCCAACAACCTTTCTTACCTATGTGGGCACTGCATGACATGGGTGCACTTACATACATGTAGGCAATACACTCACACACATAAAATAAAATAATAAATATTTCAAAAATTTAGCATGATAAATTTTAAACTATTTTTCAGATAAATGTTTATTAATTTAAAATACCCTTTTTGTTTAAAAACTTTTTTGTGTGGCTAGCCTCAAGATGCTGACAGCCTAACATCTTTTAGTTATTGCCATTTCATAAGATGCACTGTTAACATCAAATCAAGAAAATAATTTTCTGGTAATGTTATACATTTCAAAAAGAAACATGGCTAACAAATACTTAACCCTAATTGCTATAATGGAGATAAATGCTGACAATTCACTCTTAGTCTACTTAAAATGAAGAAAAACATTCAACACTTTCTCAAATATATCACTGTTTTGACTAAAGCCTTCTTTCTTTTCATGGGCAATGGTAGTGACCTCTGGACACAAAAGTGACACATGTTCCTCTTCTGTGTTAGGGTTAGAAAGACAGCCAAAGCATACAAGAACTACCACTGTTACCATCTATTTCTTCTTTTCCCCTTTTTAAAAATGTCTGAGTATTCTTTAGTTTCTACCTTCTCTCCCCATGAGAAGTCACTATCTGACAAAGCTGACCTCACTGCTAGATCTAGGAATGGTTTTGTCTGGCATAAGCCAGACAGTACCTTTCATTTTGCTGGCCATTGTGATTTATCCTTTTTAGGGCTGCATACAATCTAAAGCAATCTAATCAAAATGAATCTGAATCTCAGGATTGTTACTTTGAATGGACACATGCACTTACAGGAAATGTTTACTCTTTTCTCTATGATATACTATCACTGCCTTCTTAGCAACTTTTCATAACTGAGCTTTTAAAAAGTTTTCTAGATACTGTATATCAACTCTAAATTTGTAACTTTTCCATGCTAAGATCTAAGAAACTAACTGGTATGACTTTAACACTAAAACACAGTGATCACTAGAAAGGTCGTGGCATCTGGTAGAATTAGAAAATTGATACCATTTAACAGATCTAAAACAGAAATGACTTACCTCGGTGGAAAGTGACTGGCAGAGGACGGCAAAGAGCTATAAAGAGAAAGTCATAAAACAATATGAAGAGGTTGATCACTATATAAAGAATTCTCCATGATAGGTGAAATTTTTATACTCTCTTCATCTAAGAAGATGCTGATGCAAAATAATGACAGCCTTACAAATTCAAAATTCTATCTTTCCACTAAGTTCTAACCTTTTTTATATTTAAAATATGGTTATCTACATCTTAGAGTCACAAAAAAATGACATAAACATAACTGTAAGGGAAGCAGTTCATTATTACTTGCCACTCTGAGGATCTTCAAGAAATACTGTGGCCTATTAATGTAGGTAGTTTGTGTCTATCCTCTCCACCACTCCTCCTCACTATCAACTGTAATAATTTCTGAAGTTTTTGGTGCATTGGTTAAAAAGAACCTATGTGAATTTCTCTTAAAACCTCCAAGAGCAGTACTAAAACCTGATCTATAGCAACTGAGGAGAGTTAGGAGGGCTTTGCCACATATATCCTCTGTCACAAACATCTAAAAAACTACTTTTTAAAATAGATTAGTGTAAGCGTGTGCAGGTAGGACTAAATTTTTTTCTGCAATGGGATCATATATACAATCATCAGATGCTTCTACATCTCATACATAAATTCTTACCCACAAGAGACATGCACAGCTCTTTGTCAATGTGCCCATCTTCAGTCAATGCCCCAAATACCAAACCATCAGCACCATAAAGCTTGGCAAGCCGAATGTCAGCCTTCATCACCTCAACTTCACGATCTGAATATAAAAAATCTCCTCCACGTGGCCGAATCATCACAAAAACTGGAATTTGGACACACTGTTTCACTACTTGGAGGATACCTGTAACAGCAAGCAGACTAAAATTCAAATATGAGCCAAGAGCTCTAAGAAAGTTAATAAAATATCATTGCCACATACAGTTTTTATGGATTATTTCTGAAAGAGTTTACAGAAGAAATTAGAGAAAGATGATATAAAGGGAAGCAAGCCAATGAGAAAAAAAAAAGTGTGTGTAGTAGAAGGTAATAGAAGTCAAGGGTTAAGAAGAACAATTTAGAAAGATTGAAGATACTGCCATTTAAAGTACTTGTCACTTGACACCATAAAAATTCTTGTAACTCAAAAAAAATCTTTCACTAACATGTGACATCTGAAAGTATATGAGGTACCACATTCAGTATGTCTGCCAGTATATTCCTAAGATCATTCTCCACGCCTCCCCGTCCTCCTCCTCCTCTTCTTCACCATCTTCTTTGTGTGTGTGTGTACATGTGCAAGTGCACATGAAAGTGTGCGCATGTTCACGTGGAAGCCAGAGCTCAATGTCAGGTGCCTCAATCACTCTCCACTTTTTTTGAGGGGGTGGGAGGACAGTGTCTCTTATTGAATCTAGAGCTCACTGATTAGATTAAACTGGCTGACCAGCAAGCCTCAGGGATTTTTTGGTCTTGACCTTCCCAGTGCTTAGATTATGGGCACATGCCACCATGCCCAGTCTTTTACATGGGTACTAAGAACTAAACTGAGAGCCTTATGCTTGCATAGCAAGTATTTTGCCAACAGCCATTTACCCAGTCCTGACCCTCCTTTTTTCATAAGACTTCTTTTGAGACAGGGTCTCATTATGTAACCCAGGTTGACCCAGAACTCTTGATCTTACTGTCTCAGCTTCTTTTTCTTTTTTGGTCTTTTTGAGACAGGGTCTCCCTGTAGCCCCAGCTGCCTGCAACTCAGAGATACAGCTGCCTCTGCCTCCCGAGTGCTGGGATTAAAGGCGTGCACCACCACGCCCAGCTTTGTCTCAGCTTCTTGAGTGCTAGAATTAGAGGGATATACCAGCATGCTCAGTTCTCCTTTCTAACCGATTAGAGGTCTATTCAAAATCTATCACAGAGTTAAAAGTTCCAAAGTTGATGTCCCTTTAGTGGATAAGATCTATGATATATTCTAGGGGTTTTAGAATTCTTTCAGTGAGATGATTTCAAAGGGCTGTTGAATATATAAAACTTTTAGGGGCTGGAGAAATGGCTCAGCAGTTAAGAACACTGACTGTTCTTGCA